TGTGTGTGTGTGTGTGTGTGTGTGTGTGTGTGTGAGTGTGAGCGTGTTTATTTTTGTGTTGTGTGTTAAACATTTTCTCCTCACTTATGAATCGAACTTGTGTCTCCTGCGTGCAACAGCGGAGCACATAACCGTCAAACCACAGACACTGGTTTTGCAGAGAGTATAGTTTCAACGAAGCATATTATTTATTTTTCTTTGTTAGAGTGGATGAAACTGAATAATAATATATGAGTCGAAATGGAAAGAACTTTAGCGTTTTTCTATATCAGTCGTGTTGTTCTGATATTCACGTATAAAATTCCTCAAGAAACTAAATTTTGGGCTTCATGTGTTACTGACTACTAACTGTGGGTACGTGATAAAATATTTTTTGGCCATCTAGGCCTATGCTTCGTAGTCTCATGATCCTACGCAGGTTCTCTTCCGTGTTTTTTTATGAACACAACACCACAATTTACCAAAGTTTTAATGCTTTTTTTATTTGTTTTCTTTTCAGGTCGTATTTATGAACACCAAATTTAATTCTGGATTATATAATACAGTATTGTTGTAAATGGTAATGTTGTTTATGATAACAGAGTGATGATGTCAATATAATCATTTTGTCGCAACGAGCATATGGAAAATAGCTTTTCGTGATACAGAGTGCAATCCCACCTGCCCAAAACAAAGGAAAAAGCAAGATAAAGAAACACACAAATTAGACTATATTTTATAAAATAGACAATCTAACAAAACAGCAAAAAACAAAACAAAATAAAACACTCCTACCCACCCCACCCCCCTCCCCCAACAACAATCCCGCTACAAAATCACAAAAATCAAACGAACAAACAAATAAAAACCCCTCAACAAACCCGAAACACACCCAATCACCCCCCCCCAAAGACAAAAAAGCCCATCATGGAAGAATGAGGTTAGTGTTCATAATTTGTACAGGACGATCAGTTTTGATGCGCGATAAACAAAACACTTGCTGAAAGGTAAATAATTACGACAGGAAATAACAGAGTGCGGTATGTTTTGCATTTGCGGTTAAAGACTTAAGCATCTGAATCAGAGACAAAAATATAAACACCCATGTTGATAACAGCTGCAGCAGCATCAGTATATTGATATCAACACTAACACCATAAACTGGACTTCACAGATACGATAATAAGTACATTGAACGTGCACTAGGTAAAACTTGAAAAGAATACCCATATGGATAGATTTTTGGCCACTTTTTAAAATCTAAAATACAAAGGACAAATTTCTTTGAGTGTACTCTATTTTAACTGCAAACCATAAGAATGAAAATGAAGTAACATTGAACATAGGTAAATGCCACTGTTCGATGAAACAAAAATCAACTTTCACATAATAATATCACACGTTAATAACTGCAGTTCAACTCAACAGGCATTTATCTCATTTCATTTACTTCAGATGGGGGTCACACATTTCAACATATCATCATTAATAACTACTCTGTGCTCTATAATTTCTTTATTCACAAAACTTTGATCACATCTAATTGAAAGGCACAGCGGTGGCTGCCTTGGCAGCGGAATGCTATGTAAACTTGTGTTTCTTAGTGAGACGGCTATTTACATTCACAAGAGGGAATATGCATAATATTTAATTTGATCAACTGCGTATAACGTTTGTAGAATGAATAAAGGGAGACAGAAGAAGACTTGACTTGTCATTGAAACATTACATGTACAATATTTACAGGGCCGTAAATTGCATATCAGCTTTCAGAGAACCTTTTGACCGAAATTTCTGATTGTCACAAATTTCGAGAGTAAATAACAATATCGACTGGTCACTTTATTTAAAGTATTGTCGAAAGACAATTGGTCTCGAGCTGCACTTTCTCAAGGTGAAATCAAAATTCGCTGTCAGTCCACCTTATTCTAGTTTCAAAAATGGGAGAAAACTACCGAATGTTTTAATTTTTTCCCCAACTAGGTACGGGATGAAAGTCTGTAAAGATACACTCGAACAACAGAAAGGAACAACGAGAAACGGTGGGCCAAATGTTTTGTTCTTGGAATTTTGGCACTCATATAGTCACCTTTTCATTAACATAATAATATGTATGGTAGCAGGTCTGGCAACCTTTCCACAATGTCAATGTAATTGTACTTTCAGGAACACAATGCACAAGGAACTCAATACATTATACATGATTTTGATACACGGACGTTATTCACTCTATGATAAGCTCTTCTTGTACTTGAAGACATAATCACAAACAGTAGGGCCCGCAAAGTATTATATGCAGGTAAACATGATATCACATTACTGCGCAACATGTCAGTGAATCGGGAGAATCTGTGTTTTTTCCTCATCCAAATTCCTTTGTTTCAGCACACATGCTATGCTATACAAATAAACCTAGGGTAATGTAAATGTGCTTGCCTCATTTGAGCAAGAAACAAAACACTTCAGTTAAAAAGAAAAACAGATAGCAATAAAACAAGTGAAAAAGAAATAAACCAGTAGAAAAAAGGAAAGGAAGAGGGGGACAGAAAGAAAGAATGTAAAAAGAAACAGAAAGCGAAGGAAAAAAGTAGCTATAAATACATTTTAAGCAACTTAATACAAAGGACAATAAGTAGTATCCTATCTGCAATTATCCCAGCTCTACCAATAGAATACCGTATACAATTATGTGCAATGGTTGTAGCTGCATCCATCAAGATGGTGAAGAGAATCGGCTCTAGATTACAGATATACATAATTTATATCCTTTAAGGCAAAGTGGATCTATTATTATGGGCCACCCAGTTGTTTGCGACAAAACGAAAAGCTACTGCTCAAGCAGCAGGTGGGGGAAAATCAAAGAGGTTATAGATACATGTAGTAGGCATACTATTTATAACTTCTTTGAAGGAAATACAGACTTGATAGTCAGGATATAGGCCTTAAGATAGCTGCCATGAACGCAGGCAGCAGATCACAACTTTGTGTTGACGTCATTCGTAGTGTCAAAAGCTTTGTTGTCGTAGGCGGGAGGGCTCTCTTGATGGTCGTCGTTGATGAAGAAGGACGCCTTGCCTCCCTCAGTGGCCGGAATGTTCGGGCTGTTGGGTTTGTTAAAGTGGAGGCCCGCGTCGGCTATAATGGCCGAGATCTGTTGAGAGCAGAAGTAAACATTTTAGTTTAAACAGTAGGTGGGTTATTTAACGCCCCCTCCCCCTCTCCGATTCGAAATAATTTAGAATATTTAAGATAACATCAGAGCCGGTGCGCTTTCACACTGCATATCAGGACCAACCCGGGCTGAGAGGGATGCATCGCCTCAGCAGAAACACCTAGGTGCTCATTAAAAGTACTCCCCTCCCGGGAATCTTTTTTGGTTTTAGTAAGTGTTAAAAGGCACTTGCAACACAATAAGGTAATATAAGTGCCGAAGATTAGAGGTGTTATAAGAGAGGAACAAACACAAAAAAAGAAGGAGAAGAGATAAGGACGATAGATGTTTGAAAGGAAAGAAGAAGCAAACCACACCAGAGCACTCGCCAACCACCCACGGGAATCGAACCCATGTTTTCTGCGTGCTACGGCGAAACGTGTAATAGCCCACACACCACAGATGCCGGATATATATATATAT